CCCTCTACTTTAACGAAATAAAGTATTACCAGACACTACCTTAATTCTTCCGACGTCGCGACCAGGAGATAAAGGTACATGTATCAATATTTAAAGCAAAACATTTTTTTTGTCCGAAGTTTTGTTTTTGAGCACTATTATTTAGTTTATGATACCTGAATATAACTTCTAAGAATAAACTATTTAATTGCTTTATAAGTTGTTTTGTTATTTATAAGTTAGATCCAACAGTTTTTTAATACTCTATATAAAAGCTTACATGTGGTTGGGGTAAAAACGACCAAGTCAACATTATAGTTATTCTTTCACAATTTTTCTAAACATTATAGTTATTCTTTTTTTTATTTTTCTTGAATAAGGAGTTATCCTTTACTTTTTATTCTCAAATATTTTATTTTAAGTACCGACAACTACCCTTAAATGTATCTAAGACTCTCATGCTTCTATTTATAATTTCTTTAAGAAATTATGCAATCAATTTCAAGTATTCATAATAAATTTAAAGGTATAATAATGCCTACTAATGCTACATTTCAATAACGTCAATTTTCTTTTATTGAATTTTATTTTTGGCCTTAAACATAAACAATATACTTGAAATTTCAAGTGCCTATTAAGTCATATGCAATACAGCACTATCATTACATTGCATTAATTTTGCGTAGTTTTATTAATAAAAAATTATCTTGAAGTTACATAAACTTGTAGAAGACAAAGTTAGGCACATTTTTTTTTATCAAAGTATCCACTTAGAGTTGAATTCGTTGAAGTAGATACTTGAAGTTTTTGTTTTTATTTTTATTTTTTACTCGAACGATTTTATTATGAAACTATAAAGTATTTTAGCATTTTATAATGTGGATTAAATGCTCCAACTTTTTTGAGAGCTATATTTATTATCACATATTTTTTGAAAAAGTGTATGGCAAAATTACAGTATTTTCATTATTGATTTAATAATTTAATTATATTCTGTAGCAGATCAGAATAGTTTTCAAAGTTAGTTTCAATATTTTAATGAAAATATCGACGATTTGTTCTATTAATTTTTAGAACTATGCCAAAAAGAAGATTTATCTCAGCAGAAATTAATCAGTTAAACACATTATATCATCACAGACATAGTCATTGTAATAAAGAAACTAAATATGCTACTTCCTGGTACTAATGTAAAATAAATTGCAATACAATAATTAGGAAATACTATCAAATTGACCAGAACCAGAATGCGCATGACGCAGTCTTCGTCAGTTTCGGATAGTTTAGGCTTGGATGGAATGAACCTATTTGGGTTAGTTATATTAAAAATGATTGAATTATTAAAAAAGTTCAGAATCAAGGGTGTAAAAACCAAAATGTAATGAATCATTGGCTTTTCTTCTAATCAGTGTCTCATCGATTGATCGCAATTAAAATACTTGTCGGAAAAACCGTACATTTTCCAATGCAAAATCGCGTGATAAACACGGATATTATTTTATCAGAGATACAAACTCGCTATTTTTAAATTCGAAAACGATCGTTCCATCATCGTCGTATCGTATCGATGATAAACTAGAAGATGCCCGTCCGATGTAGTTCTGTGACCCCGCACACACTTGTCTGTTATCAAAGCGATGCTCCTTGTCTGTTGTTTATTATCGTGAATTCTTATCAAGCGCCGCCGTACAGAAACTACATATATATATTTATCAAGTAGCGCGTGAGATTGTGCTCTTTTACGGATTTCTCTCTAAAACACGGCGAACGGATCATGATTGTACGAGTTTATTACATTACAGCTGTTGTTATGTCATTCAAGTTAGCGATTACATAAGTTTATCAAACTGACAAAAACTGATCAGTAGTGGTATTTTGTTTAATCTATGTTACACTAGAGAGTGAGATTACTAGGACCTCTTCCTTGCCCGTGGTACTACAGTGATACTTAAAATTATCCCCATACTTTTCTGCCCAACATTAATAAACGTGACACTTTTGTATTTTTTTGTATTTACTAGATCCCCCTTCCCACACGTGATATTTTGTGATTTTTGGAGATTTGTATAATTAAAATTATACAAATAATTGCATTTATTATAAAGATTTTACTCAGGTCATTTGAGCGACCGGTACGAAGGTAGAAAACCGAATATAGAGATAAGATCCGAAAAACAATAAGTTAAAAATATTTTTCACCTACGTTACTTAAATAATAATTAAACAATTACTTCAATAACATCAATTAGATGTTATTTATAATTAATTTAATTCAACAATTTAGCAGTGATACTTACTTAAAGAAATCTTCCTTGCAGTAGAGTTGCCCGTTCCTCGCAAAACATTTGTCTGCGAGTTGGGCACCACATTCGCTACATTGCAAACACTTTGCATGCCAAGTCCTTTCCAATACTTTTAATATGAATCTGTCCAATATTAATTCATGGCAGCCCCCGCATTTTGGAATACTTGCTGAAAAAATATAATTGGTAAAATTAGATCATTGATATAAATATGAGCAAAAAGTTTTGGGTAAACATATTTATTAATATTAATTGAAAATATTTTTGCTATAATAACAATTTCTATGTTTTTTCATTCAATTTATTTCTTTACTTTATAATTTTCGCAAAAATATTGCATCCAATCATATAAATATGCCTACAAGGTACACACACTTTTCCTAATTTTAAGATAAGGCAAAAAAGAATACTCCTTCTTTACTTACCCTAATGAAGAAGTTCAAAATAATTAGGAATAGCATAATATTATTAAAATAACATTATAATCTAATTCTAAATATAAAAATTAAATTTTCTTATATTTTAAAATTAATAAAAAATTGTTAATAAAACATGAGAAAATTTTTTGTAAAATCATTTCTATTCATGATTTTTCATTTTCCATTTCTAAAATCATAAACAGTAAACTATAAATACATATAAATAATTATAAAGGTAATATAATTCACTATATACCATATTATTTAATTTATTACTCATATAAGTTTGAAACTTACTTGGTGAATTTTAATTAAACTAAATTAAAAATAAATTACCCATTTGCATTTTAGCAAATTCAAACACTAAAAATGATGCTTATATTTTGGATAATGTTCACTACTAACTGCGATATCTCTTTACGATTTCTTATATACTAAAATTTAATAGATAATAATTACGAGCGAGCTTTATCGAACAGATGCGAAAATTTAGTGAGTATAATAATACTATGTAGAAAATCTAAAGAACTCAAGATATAATCTGTAATGTTGTGTAAAATGTTATTTCATTGTATACAGTGAAAAATCTGAAGTAGGTACTTAAAATTTTCAATGGAGAGTTGTGTATTAATTTTTTTCTGCTCGTGTTATTTAATAGCAAATTATTTGATTTATTCTGAAAATAATTTAGATACTAAACTAAAAATAATTTAGATATTAAAAATAATCGTTAACTATTTTATTGTATATAAGTACTTGGAATTATTCAAATAACCTATGAATATTTTTTCTGTCCCGTATACAGCCATTTTTAATAATGTATATACTTCTAATACTTTATATCTTAAATATAGAAAATTTAAATGCCTCCAAGTTTGGTGACCCCAACCACCAGAAATCGTTATCATTTGTGATTATCTATCTAAAATTCAAATTACTTTAATATTTTGTAACGATTTATTTCTTAGTTTGTATGAAGTAGAAAAACGCAATTTGCCAGTGCTTTTAATGCGAGCAAAATATTACGTCATTTGCACACCTAAGAATTTATTGTTTTCAAATGCCATCTCAATTGTTTACATGTATATTTCTAACATGGAACAGAACAGAAAAGCTGATTGAGAACTTATCGTAACAGGTGTATATGAATGTTCATTACACGCAATATTTTTTTTTTCATTTAAAAGACCTCGTTTCTAAAGATTTTTTTACCTGTGGATTTTTGATATCAAGGGATTAGTCGGTGTTAGAACAAGTGTTAAACATGTAATTGACGTAAAACAAACAAGATTCATAAGATCAGTTCCCTTTCACGTTATCAAGGCGTGATACGATCATCTAAAAATGTACTTGAATTCAAGAACCTGATGCCATTTGCAAGATTCTATATAAACATGTGAACTGTGCGTGAAAGGCTTTCAAGAAGTTTCATTGAGTTCCAATTAAGTTTATAAGTATTTTTGAGAAGATAGGAATCGGATATAAGATGGTTTTTCGTAGAAGATCGATAATTCGTAACAAACAAAATTTAGACAAATTTCAAATATAAATTTCGTCCCCTATACCAGTAAATGTATCAACAAAATCTTGAAAAATAATCAATATACCAAATTACTCAAGAAAATATTTTAAATATAATTCTTATGATTTCAGACTCAAAGTGCCAGATTTTCTGATTTTTATGAGCAATGACATCATAAAACAATGTTTGCAATTGCCCAATAAATCAAAGCATAATAACAAAAAGTGCTTTCATCATGATGTCTGGATTTTGTTTCAAATATTAATATTTATGATCCCAAACAATGTACCCTGAGAATGACTTTTCGCGACTTTTATCCACGATGTCGTTGTGATATCTTAACTAAACAATAAGGAACAGCAAAACCAACAGAAAATATGTTTAATATTAGATTAGTATCTTATTTACGTAATATTTCGTAGCGGTCTAGACCAAAGAGTAGTAAATGAAGGTCGCGATAAGAAAAGCTTCTACTAAATTATTCTGTCTGAACTGAATCATTTAGAAACCAAGCAAAATAACTGACCAATTTTAATTTTGAGGATTTAAATATATTTGTAATTAAATGGTGCATCTATTTGTTAAGCAAAATAATTAGTTTTTATATATTTTACATGTTTAATGTTAAGAATTGCTGAATGAGGACACCCATTTAGTACTAAAACGTACAAAATCATTTTAATATCCAGTATTAAATTAGTATTTAGTATGGTAGTAAGTATATCATCGTCAATTTACTGTATTGAAATGATTATGGGTTAATAGATTTTTGCAAGTTTCATAGAGATATTTCAGACTTTGCCAGTGCTCATGATTTATTTTGTAAAAAGGACATCCAGGAAATAATATATTTAAATTCTCAGCTTTCATGCTTCACAGAAAACATATATGGTTCAATAATCTTTTTTATAATTTGTACACTATTATATTATAATTTATTTTAATGTCTTTAATTTTGAGCTTTTGGATGAATTGGTTTATAGATGAACAGACGAAAATATAATGAAAATTTGTGTAGTTTTGGTCGAGAACTTTTAAAATAGAGTATGAAGACATTAAACTTTTCATTCCTACTTACACAGTTATCTACTAATTTATAAAATAAATATTTTATAATATAATAGCAAGTTGTAAATTTTTTTTTGAAAATATGAATTTTAGTAATTATTTTATAGCACTTTTACAAAATAGATATAGCTTTATGTAGATTACGAATGTAGATTTAAAACTACTTAAGATTAAAAAATATCAACTTTTTATCAAAAAATGTATTTCAATCATATGATTTGAACTCAAGAGGCTTGTCCGAATTCCATGATCAATTGATTCGCAGATATTAATTAGATATGTTTATTAATATCTATTTTGAAATATAGATATGTTTATATATATATATATATTTTATATATATATATATATATATATATATATGGATTATAATTTTTAATTATCCCCGGAAAACTTAGACTTAAACCTAACCTTACTACTATAAGGTGTTATTTTTTAAGATACTATGTTTAAATATTTTGTGACAATAGGGTATTTGATTTATATTTCGTATTTATTATAAAAAAAACTTTTTAGTTAAAACAATATCGATTTTCTTATAATCAATCTATATTCTGATTAGAATCACGCACACGCAGGATATTTGCTTCCCAAATCAATTTAAATTGTCCATCAAATTGATTTTATAATCAGAAACTAAGGGTAGCTTTACTTTTGCTTTAGATGAGCTTTCAAGTATAATTTATTTATGAGTCAAAGTTGAGACAAAATTGATTGTATTAGAATCAATCGATATTCCAATTAGAATCATACATACGAAGAATATTTGGTTCACAAATTAATTTTAGGTATCGGTTATGATGACTTGATAACGATAAATTAAGGGGACATGAGCTTTTATGTGCTTTCTTTATTTATATGGCAATTATTGCAAAAATTAATATTTTTATATTAACAACCGTTTTATTTTGGGGTATACAAGTACCGTTTCAAAAATTTTAAATGTGCATCTCAAATATATAAATGGTTAATAAGCAGTGATAGTTTAATTAAGAAATATGTATGATATTTAAAGTAATTGACTGAACGGTATGAACGTGATGAGAGCACTTAATTTATTACACTGTATCAAGATAAACTTAAAACAAATGTGAAATTAGGAAGATTTTTTTAAATAAGATATAAACAATAGTGATTTATATGTTTATACTATTAAAATGATCTTACATAAGAAAACGTCCGGCAAGTGATCCAACTGTATCGGCGGAACTCTGATGTCAGCCTGAATGTCAGGACTCGAGGACGGCGGTGTTAGGGATTCGCTTCTGAACAGCATCATTCTCACTCAATATTTTTTTACAACTCAAAACTAACTAATCGACTATCTTTAGATCACTAGTATTGACAGCAGTAGTAGCAAGTACTCGACATTTTTTGGCGACAACGTCAATCGAAATAAAATTGTTTACACAGTTTTTTTATACATAAATTAATTCGATGATTGTAATAATCGCTCACGAGCACATCACGCGTTTTAGGATGATGATATGCACGTTATCACAGACACTTTTATCACACACATGCGCGCTCGTCGGCCGTCGATTTGACACTAAGACCATTCTCATATGACCGATAGGACCGCGTGCGCTTAGAATACATATGTTGCCCCCACTACACGAATGGAACCGAATGTGTGAATTGATCCCTCTTTTCTTCTTCTACTCTTCATGTTGCAATGTTTTCTTTTTTCATCGAGCATTTTATTTCGCTCACCCTCCGAACAAATTTCCCGGAGAGCGCTCGCTCCGCCTATAGATGAACCGGCGCGCACTCCCAGCCACGCGATGTGTGGACAGAACTTGGGCTGGGAATGGAACAACTATTCAAGTCTACTTATTTGGAACTTAGTAAACTCGTTATTCATTTTGTTGGACGTTAATAGCTTTTATCATTTATTGCTATTGAAACTGATTTGAACAATTTAAAGCGGTTACGCGGTTGGTACAATGAGCAGTGATACGTCTGCAATCTATTTCTTTGCACAATAAACACCATTTAATCTTTTTTTATACTTATTTTTACATAGATGTATTTGTTGTACATCTTAAAATCTACAAGAAGTAACACTATAAAAATAAAAAATGACTTTAACAATACAAACTTTGGCCATTGACACAGATTGGCTTCTTGATTGAATTCTTGTCAATCTTGCAGTTATTTCAATTTTAGTATTTAAATTGATTTGCCTTAAGCAAAACCTATCAATATTAAATTAGTGATTAAATTAATTATGTATTATGTGAAATACAATACTTATTTTTTAATCTTTTATATTTATATTTCAGGACGCAATAGGGGTTAACTGGCTGATTTACTTGCAATCGCTCTTCCCAGGTAATTGTTAATTCATAAGTTTAGTGCTATTAGTATGCTAATATTTATTAAAAACGTAGACTCAAATCAAATTTTTTAAAGCAAATAAAATCTCTCCAAAATGAGTGCATCCAAAACCAAATTGGACAGTAGAATATGATTGTTATTTTAAGTGTAAATTTAAATATCTGTAGATGCCAATATCCTATCAGAATCAATCAATATTCTAGTTAGAATCATATATACGCAGAATATTTGGTTAATAATAATAAAAATTAACATCAAGATGTAGGAAGTTAATCCCATAGAGTAAGTTATAGTAATCGCAAAAAAAACAAAAATTAAAATTTTTGCATATCCTAGAAAAAATTGATGTGTTGATAATGTATGTGTGCGTTTGTGTGTATAAGTGCGGATACAATTTTTTGTCGACGATTCCGAGAGTATGGATAAATCAATTTCAAATTATTTAAAAAACATTCTATGTGCCAAAAACATCTAGTTTTTCCTAAGGCAGGTATCCGTTAATAATCGAGGCAAAAAGTGCAAACAATGGCAATGCAGTTTTTGAGAGAACGGAGAGTCCAATACGAATTATTCAAAAAACATTTTACTTGTATAAAAGAAATGAAGATTT